CCATATACAGTTGGAATTCCGGGGTATTTTCCCCATCATACAGTGCTGGAAATCCGACCTCATCAACAGGGGGGGTGCAGATATAAACTGGAATGGCCCATTGTGTGGTCTTATTTATTCACTCTTTGTTCACATGGGTTTCATGTTGCAGGAGCAAAACCTGAGAAAAATCCTAATCACAAAAGAACTTCCAATGGATGTGGATCTATGGGTCTAGAGGTAAGTGATAGAATTTGGATTAAGTAAAACACTTTCATTGGTTTCACAATTAGGCCACACCGACTTAATTTTATGGATGACATCCGCGCACGCATTAGTTTTCGCTTGTTCTCACACACAAAAAAAAAATCTACGACGACGAGTCTCCACAGATTGGTTTTATGTCCAAAACTTGGCGACTCATATTGTCGCAAAGCGCCGGCTTGTCGTAAAACTCGTTTTGGACTACCTCAAAACGTGCCAATTTTGTCGTTAATGATCTTCTGCACATGCGTATTGCGTTGCCGGGAATTCCAACATGGCGACCACGCCACCAAAATACGTGAGCATAAAAGTTCAGAGGAAAAACGGAGGGATTGTTGTAGACTGGTACGCAATTTACGTCTGCCAGGGAGATGTGACGTTTACACAGCTATACGAGAGATTGGTAGCAGCAAGCGAGTTTCGCCCAGACAACTTTAAGGACATATTGTCCAGAGTGGCTGTCCCGCGTTTCTTCTGCAACGATGAGAGAAATGGAAAAGGAGTGAAGGTGTATGGTGGCCTAAAAGTCAGTCAGGCAACAAGTCAGTTCGGTTGCTTTGTCCGCATTGAAGCTGACAAAACTGCAACGAAAGCAGAGGAAGCTCCTTGGCCGAAATCCGCTTTTGAGATGAAGAAAAGTTTCTTGCTATTTTTTTTCCCATTTTCTGATTTGGATAATTTGCTTGCACACACAGTCAGTAATATTTTGATCATATGACAAATTTTCATCAAGATACATGTACATAATTTTCTGCATCCAAATTGTTGTTGGTGTTTTTTTTTCAATACCGAGCCTCTTATAATTTGTTACATAGTTGAAGTAATTCTAGAGCATTTGTGTCTACACTTAGTCTATCTGAAGTGTCACTTTAAAAGCTGTAGTTTGAATGTCAAAGAAGTTAATTTCCAGGTTGCTGTTGACAAACTAATTTGTTCATTTTTAATTCAATTTTTTTTCAATACAACACAGTAAGTTTTACTTTATTTAATATTTATTTATTTCTTGTTGTTTTTATGATACAATTGGTTCTGTAGTTCAATTCGTAATTATTATACCAGCTCCATAGTTCTTTTTTTTTTTTTGGCAGGTTTTTTTTTTCGCCCTCTCGCATTAGATGTGGGATCTCCAGAGGATGTCATCCATAACATTAAATCAGTGTGGTCTTATATAGAATAAATAGAATACACTAGGATACAATATATACATTCTTTTACAATATAACTTATCATAATAGGACAGGGTTTGCACTAGTGTCTCGGCAAGACACTTACAAAATTTTTCGAAATTCAAATTTGACCCTGGATAACTTTATTGGAGATTGGACCCCAGCTTGCCTGAAAAACTGGGTCCCTCTTCAATAATTTGAGTCCGGTAAGCAAAATATGGGGTTAACGCATTCCTGATAGGATATAACATAGAATATAAAATGTATTAAAGTATATTATACTGTAAAATATGATATATAATATATAGAATGAACTAGAATATGATACAACATATATATAATGCAATAAAATCTATAGAATAGAATAGGATACAATACATTATATTCTTTACAATATAACTATGTGATATAACATACAATATAGAATGTATTAAAGTATATTATACTGTAACATGACTAATTTTCACTGGGTTTAAATTTCGCTTATTCACTATTTCAGGCATATTCAGTGGGTTTTAAATTCACGGTTTTATCATTTAGATAATGTGTTCTATGCTCAATTTTACATATTCACTGGGTTTTAAATTAGCACATTTTCCAGTCAGCGAAATAAGCAAAATTAAAACCCAGTGAATAATTAATCCTTTTTGTTTTACAGTATTATAAAATATAATATATAATATATAGAATGAACTAGAATATGATACAACATATATATAATGCAATAAAATCTATAGAATAGAATAGAATAGAATAGAATAGGATACAATACATATATTCTTTACAATATAACTATGTGATATAACATAGAATATAAAATCTAATGAAATTTGTTATAATAGAATAAGATGGGACACAGTATACATATAATAGATAAAGAATCTATAGAATACAATAGGATACAACTTATAGAATCTAATACAATAGAATTTAGAGAGTACAATATAAAATATAATAGCATGACACTAGTAACATTCAACTTATGGTCTACTGATTGTATTTATTTCAGATAGATACCGAGTCGATGCCTGAGATGACCAGATGCTGTGATAGACACGATATATGTTATGACACATGTGGCAATAATAGAAATGAATGCGATGACAGATTCAAGAAATGCCTGGATAAAATGTGTAAAATGTACAAAGATGAGAAAAAACTATCAAAGCAGCAGCTCAGCGGTGAGTTTATAATATAAAAATTATGACTCGTATGTATACTGTAAAATACTTTATTTTAACTAGAATTAATTTTTGCTGAACAGACTTCTTCGGTATTTTGTTATGAAATTAATTTTCACTGATTTTTGATGAGTTGAATGTAAAATATAAGAAAAAGGCATATTCACTGGATTTTATTTTCACTGAATCAAACCTTAGAAAATAGCGAAATTTAATTCCAAGAGAAAACTGTAAAATAATATTTTAACTGGAATTATAATTTTCATCGAAAAAAAATATTTTTGGCTGCTCTGTATGAAGTTCATTTTTTTACTGATTTTTGATGAGTTGATTGTAAAATACAGGAAAAAAAGTAATTTTGCTGTTTTTTATTTTTCACCCCTTCAGCGAAAATATCAAAATTCCAAGTGAAAATAAGTACCTTATAGTACCATTGTAAAAACGTTGATCACATCATCCAGTTTTCAGATCGTAGTATGTTCCCATTAACCGACTTTTTTTCTTTAAGCAAAGTGTAAACCTTTGGCTTTGTGATCGTTTACAGGATACAACAATGTGGTTTATAATTTGATATATACCTACACAGAATTCATGGTTATAGCATGTCTCTGCCTCGGTCAAAAAAATGTTACATATATCCTATAGGAGAAGCGCAGGGGCTCAGTGACATCCAGTCTATTGTACAAATGATCATTACTGGTAAAATAACTTTTCGATGAGTATCGGTATTTTGGAAGCATTAACTTACTCAAAATCAAGAAACATAGAAGTTATTCAGTCAGTGTAGCTACCGGTATGTCTTAAATACTAAAAAAATTAAACTAACACCAATTTCAGAACTTGTTGTTCTAACTACTAAACACATTTCATATTAGGGCAGAGACTACATTTGTATGCATGTTATGGAAGCAGTTAGACTGGCGCAGTCAGGGCGATTAATTTGTTTTTGTAATTTAAATAAAATAAACAAAATTTGCGAAAAGAAAGTGTAACTGCGAAATCACCCCGACTGGTTTATTCTGCATGACCCTCTATCGACACTGCAGGAACCCGTAGATTTTTCAACGGGTAAATATGTTAATGAGCATTCTAGTTGACAATCGTCTAAGCCAATCTCAGCGTCTCTTCAACTGACCTCGGACCGAGAATACGTCAGCCGATTTTTTTTTTAATTCTACGACTAGAAACTACATTAAAACCCACGTTTTACAGTTTCTATGCTACATTCTAAGTCTATTTACGACGACTACTACAAACTCTAATTTCAACGTGCCGCCTTGTTTGGTCTGCAGTGTGACCTTCACCATGTTGACCTCATTATGCACGTATTTCCGCGCCCACCTCATTATAATACGTGCAATTCATGAATATTTAATAGCAATGAATTTCTTGCAGAATAAACCAGTCG